CCGCCCTCTTTCCCTCTTTCTTCTCTATCTCCATCTCCGTCTCTGTCTCTCTGGCTCTCGAATTTTTGTTGTTGTAATGTCAGACATGTTAACATAGTTACGACGCATTTCCATTGGTAAATAAATAATGCTTCATTTGCTTTAAAAAAATAAGAATATTGTGGGTTCTACATATGTGAGGCAGCGTGGTGGAATCAGGCTCTCGTTAATTTTTGGGCTTGTAGAGTTATTGGTATCATCTTAAAGCTTATTCACTTGTCTTTAGTTGGAAGGAAAACATATCCATTTATCTTGAATACAAGTCGAGATATTTGCGAAAGAAGGAGGTGGGGGTCACCTGTTTTCAGAGGTAAAATTAGTGAAAAAATGGCCGCCAAAGATTAGTTATTTACTTTGCTTAAGAGTCAGTGGTAACTGAAAATTTACATTTTTGTGCGTTTAATCAAAGTTTTTCAGAAAAATCCACACAGAAATGGGTTCTTTAATGGGCATGAAAGGTGCTGAGTCAAAAAACAAAAATTTCATAAAAATTCACAAACCTGCAGAAAAATGCAAGTTTTTTCACGTTAATTATTTTGACGAGAGCCTGATTCCACCACGCTGCCTCACATATTTCTATGGGTGTTTAATTCATATATGGTCACAAAGAACGTAAAAGTAAAAGAACGTTCGTCGTATATCCTAGAGATTTGTTTTGGGGGTTTAATCTCAATTTGTAGTCGTTTGATCTATGAGCTCTGGGTATGATATAATTCAAGATTGTTGGGTTTTAAATTTTTTTTAGAATTGTTTAAAAAAAAAAAATAGGCAACATACATATCGATGCAGTATCATCGAGGTATTCATGCAGAAAACGCAGTATTTGTTTTTGATTCTCCATTTTACCGACTCCGAATGGAGTTCTTTAATAATTCATTATCTCCTTTTTTTGCTTGTTCTAAACTTTTTTTGTGGGATGTTGTTAAGACATGCAAATGAATATAATATAAAAGTCTATTGCGACTTCTGCCTTTGAAAAACACCTATGCTATTTCCATATTACTGTATCGTCAGATATATTGTTGATTACGTATACTCATTGTTTTGAAGTCCCATAATTTAAAAAAAATAAATATTATGTCTTGCTTCTGTAAAGTTTTTAATGCCATAATATAGAAGCAAACTACCACTTTACCGTCAGTGACAATATTTTTTTCTTTTGCTGCGCCCCTCCCCCTCCCAACCCCCAACCCCTTCACCCCTGCTCCCTTCCTCGCTCCCGCTCTCCTGCAGTATGGGTCGGAAAAGAACTCTCGTGGTCTGCATCCTCTTCATGGTCTTTGGAAACTTCATCAATCTGTTTGTCTTTGACACAGTCTCGCTGATCGCCTTCCGGTTCCTGGCAGGGATCACGACGACCAGCATCTACCTGGCCATCTATGTGTTAGGTACTGCACGTCATCCTGTCCGCCTCTGTCTCTATTTGTTTCTTAGATTTAGTTTGAGTAAGAATATAATTTTACGGCAATTGCGACACAAATAGGTCATATATGTCGCTACCTCAGAACTACAAAGATCTATCTGACATTTTTGGTCGTTTTGAATTACTAAAACAATGAAAAACTAATAAATGTGAGGCAGCATGGTGGAATCAGGCTCTCGTCAATTTTTGGGTATATTTAGTTATTGGTATCATCTTAAAGCTTGTTCATTTGTCTTGCTTTCAATGAAAAAAATTACCCATCCATCTTCAAAAGAAGTGGAGATATTTTGGATTGAAGGAGGTGGGGGTCACCTGGTTTAAGAGGTAAAATTAGCGAGAAAATGGCCGCCAAAGTTTGGTAAATTCCAAAGCTGGAGGGTCCATGGAAACTGTAAATTTATATTTTTGTGTCTTTAATCAACGTTTTCGGTGAAATCCTCAAAGGAATGTGTTTGTAAATGGACATAAAAGGTGTTGATCCAAAAAACAAAAATTGGAAAAAATTGCTTAGCAGGGAGAAAACTGCAGTTTTCTTCGATTTCATTATTTTGACGAGAGCCTGATTCCTCCACACTGCCTCACAAGTGTAGTGTCTGGTCTATCAAAATCGTATGATTATTTAAAGTCGTTATCAAGATACGCAAAAAATTGCATTCGAAAATGCATGGCATTTTGTGAAATTCAAATTTTTAATACCTCAAATGTCTCAAAACTAAGTAAGGAGCAGATAGAAAGTTGTAATTCTTAGGTTTAGGCTTTTTTCGTTTTTTAAAAGTGTTTTACGGCGCTTCAACTGCATAAGGTCTTATGAGCGCTGGACGCATTAAACGACTTAAGTTGATGGGAAATTATGAATGTTTCCCCGAGTGGCGGCCGAAGTCTACTCTTATCGATTTTGGACCACCAAAGGATCTTTAACGTGCGCAATTCGCTCACGGGACCTCCAACGTTTTTTTGCCCTTATCCGAGAGGGCTAGGTGTAGATCTTACCTACCATAAGATCAGGGGTGTGGCTGAAAGACAGCAGTAAGGAGGAGCCAATGAGTAGCAGCAGAAAGGCTGCAGAAAGAGTCAAGAGCCCAGAGGAGGGGGTAAAGGAGGTGAGGCGGTGGGGGCAGAAAGTGTAGACGAAAGCAGACGACAGAACATTGTAAGAAAGCAGGAAAGGGTGTGAAAGGAGAACATTTTAGAGGAGAAAATTGTTCGGTCGCTATCCGGATTCAAACCTGGGACCTGTTAAATGAAAGACGAACACCTTAACCTGTGGACCACGAGAGCCCCTGTGTGTTAGGTACTGGGCGCCACCTACGCCACCTCTTTCTCTCTTTCGCTGCGTCGGAATTACAACGTTCTATTTGACATTATTGGCCGTTTTTGAGTTACTAGGACCATGAGGTCAGAAACCAAATTAATGTTCCATCTTCTCAATCAAAATCGTAAGATTATTTGGAATCTTTATCAGGATATTCAAAGAATTGCATTCGAAAAGCATGACATGATGTGATATTCAATTTTTTAAACGTGAAATCACCACGTCAGAATAACAAAGTTCTGTCTACACAGTACCTAGTTTTGAGAAATTTGACCGCAATAAAATGAATTTCACTTCATGTCAAGCTTTTCTAAATGCAATTCTTTGAATAACTCCATGACGACTCAAAATAATCTTACGATTTTGATAAAGCAGATAGAACATTTCGTTTCTGACCTCATGATCTTAGTAACTCAAAACGACCATAAAAATGTCAGATATACCTTTTGTCATTCTGAGGTAGCAAAATGTCTCAAAAGTAGGTCCAGAACAGAAAGAACTTTGTAATTCTAAGGTTGCGATATATCTCTTAGGTTTAGTTTTGGTAAGTGTTTTACCGCACGTACGACTCAAACATGTCATACAAATGCCGAAGACTAAAGGTATTTCTAGTGTGTTAAGGTACACACAAAAGAAGGAGAGAAAAGGGCGATAGATGTTTGATAGGTTAGAAGAAGTACACCACACCAGACCCCCTGCCAATCATCAAGGGTTTTCTCTCAGTCTCGACACCTGTCGCTGTCTCTGTCTCTTTGTCCCTTACCCTCTGCTTCTATGTGTTTCTCTGTCTCTCCTGTCCTATTTTTTCCACTCCCTCTTTTTCTCCTTTTCTCTCTCTCTCTCATTCTCTCTCCCTATTCCTCTCTGATAATTATGATGGTTGTTGTGATACGAGGGAGCAGAAAGAGGGAACGGCTCTCTTTCTGTTTGTCTGTTTCTCTTTGTCCCTCCCTCTCTCTCTCTCTCT